CCCGGCGAAACGACGACGAAAATGCCAGTGAGCAGCGGAATCACTACCATTTCTGAACCGAGGAGGCAGACGACACGATGCCATTAAAAAACGTCAGAAAGGGCTATACGAAAACGACACCTTAAGCGGTAGCTTACAGTCAGAAATTGTAATATATCTTCACTCAGAGGGAAAAAATGAGTCAGTTAATAAGGCCGCAAGGTACCAACTGAACATAGTTGGATTCTAGTCAATGAGCACCGAAACTCTGATATCCTGAACGTCTCCTGGTGGAGGCTATTTTACTCCGGTGTCGACATCACGTCGTGTGCTCAGGACGGTGTTAGAACGGATGTTATAATTAATAAAAGGAAGCCTATCAGCGAAAGGGTGACAATCATCCAACTGAAACTACAGCATTCTAAAGCGCCGACCTTGCTACAGGTCCATACGCCCAATTTAGACAGGGAATATGACTTATTACTTGAAAAAGTGAAGTGTGCTATGTATGTAGTTCTGATTACGGAATCGCTCTTTCTGATTGGCAATTTTAATGCGCATGTCGGAGTAGATACTGAAAGTTGGAAAGGTGTGATGGGAAGAAACGGCCATAGCGGTCTCAACAATAACGGCATAAAGTTGTTGCGGCTATCTGCAAACAACGGGATGTACGCTGTGAACGCGTTCTTCTAGTATCGAAGCGTGCCTCAGTATGCTTTGTATAGATGGTATATGCACAGAAATCGATTATCGATTTGAGAGTCGTATCGTCTGATTTGCGACGCTCTGTGAAAGACGTTTGCGTTAAGAGAAACGCAAAGCTGTCAACCGAACATCACCTTGGAGTTGACTTGCTATGCTTAAGAAATGGAACATCATATAAAAATCCGGTTGCAGAAGCAACCAGAGAATCGAATGGGAGACCTCATCTTCGGTGGATACGAGAGCGGAATTTGTAAACAACACTGCACCACTGTTCGGAGAGATCCCGACGATGATCATTGATGTGGAAACTGAGCAGGAACTCTTTAAGACAGATTTGCATGCTCAAGGCGAGTGGTTGCGGCCGAATCCTGCGAATTCAAACTGGTTGGCCTGCCAGTAAGCTCAGAAACGAACCTTCTGGTAGACTCGACAGGTAACTGGAAGCTAAAGAGAAGAAGGCTGCATTCAAAAATGGTTTCGAAGAAAAAAGCTTTCAACTTGCATGCGGAGTGTCGAGAAACACAAGGCGGCAGTAACTAGCATGTGCAAACAGCTTATGATGTATATTTGGTTTATCGGCTTCTTAAACACCATTCGCAATGAGCACCAGGTGATAATAGCGGAAATGAAGTGAGATGAGATGTACCTGGTACTGCAGGTTCCCAATTACAATGGAGTCATCGACTGCTTGAGTCACTCATTTGGCAATTAGGGGCAAGAGAGCGTTTCAGTGCGCCGTAAAATTTAACCTCCAAGAAGTGATTTGTCATTTGACGTTGAAAGTGCGAATATCTTATAAT